GCTAATTTAATTAAGACTTAGCTACATGCGTGGGGCACGACCTTATGCTAAGTGATTGGGTATTAACTGTATGCGCGGTGCACGATCTTACGCTAACTTTGAATATACAAGGAAGCAATAACGTAAAGAAAAATTCATATACCATAAAAGGGCTCAAGGGCATTGATACTCGAGCTTATTGGAGCATGAACTGTTAGGGCGTTAGAGCTTGAAAAGTAAAAATGAAAGATAGTCTGTGGTGGGCATATAAGACCGAAAATTAAAGAAAGTAAACATAATGTGGGCATGGAAGCCTTAAAAGGAAAAATTATAGATATAGCTAGTCACTTGTAATAAATTTTTAAATTGTTGGTGTTCTATGGCCTTGGGAGTGGCTTCCGTGAAGTGCCCTTGAGGCTGTAAGCTCCACCTTTCAATTTTCGTATGACCTCGAAAGGTCATTCCCATGTTGGTCCAAGCTTCCCTGGTAGGTGTCTGGCAGCTTCTGCTCTTCTAAGGACAAGATCCCCAACTCTGAATCTTATTGTCTGGACCTTGTTGTTGAAGTGCCTTACTGTCATGTTTTGATAACTTGCAGCTATAAGTGAGGCTTGTTTTCTTACTTCTTCGAGCAAGTCAAGATGTTCAGTGGTTTGTTCCTTCATATTTGTCTCGAGCTTTCTTATCGTGGGGAGGTTAACTTCAATTGGAATGTTAGCTTCAAGTCCAAAGGCTAGCATAAAGGGTGTCTCCCCAGTTGCAATCTTATGCGAAGCCCTGTATGCCCAAAGTATGGAAGGCAGCTCATCAGACTAGTTACTTTTAGCATCCCATATTCTTGTTTGAAGGTCTTGGAGTATGATCTGATTAGTTACTTCAGCAAGCCCGTTACTTTGCAGGTATGATACAGAGGTCAAGTGGTGATCAATTCCATGGTTGGCACAAAAGTTCCTGAATTGTGGGTTATCGAATTGCCTTCTGTTATCTGTGATGAGTACTTTTGGTACTCCTAACCTGCATATGATGGACTTCCATATGAATGCTCTTAGCTTGGGCTCCGAAATTGTTGCCAGAGGTTCGATCTTTATCCACTTTGTGAAGTACTCTACTACTACAACCATGAATTTTAATTGTCCTCTAGCCAGGGGGAATGGTCCAAGAATGTCAACTCCCTATTGTTCGAAAGGAGCTGAGTAGTGAATGGAAGTTAGCTCTTCAGTGAGAGCATGTATGATGTTGCCAAACTTTTGGCATTTGTCGCACTTTCAAATGTAATCTGCTACATCTTTCTTCATACTTGGCCAGTAGTTCCCATACCTTATCAACTTATATGCAAGAGCTCGAGCTCCGTAATGGTTTCCACACACACCTTCATGAACTTCAGTCAAGGCTTGAAGAGACTCAGAAGGTTTGAGGCATCTCAGATAGGGGAGTGTAAAACTCCTGCGGAACAAAACTCCTTCGATTAGACAATATCTTGCAGCTCTATACCGGATGCTTCTA